TATATATGATTGAGATATGTTATGGAGAAAAACAAGATGAGTGTGTATCACATAATGCTTCTATGTAAAAATAAGGGGGAAAGAGTCTTATACATTTGTGTTTGCCTAAATAAATACTAGAATAACATTAAATCAATAAAAATCCTTACTTCAAGGAACAAGAACTATTTTGCAATTGACAGGAATGAAACTCTTCATGTAGGCCTTTCTATAATTATACCTAGAAAATTATACATCTAATAAATGTAACCCTTTTAATACCTGCACTTGACTCTATGATTAAACCCATATAATGAAACAAAGTATGGTCATCCCCCAGAAGAACTCAAGATTCTGTCTGGAGACTGAGGACACAGCTGAGTAGCAGAGCTCTTTCCTGGAACATGTAAGGCCCTGGATTGAATTCCCAGCATCACAAAATAATCCTTTCAGCCACCCTATGCCTCCCACAAGAATAATCACATCGAACAGGAAAGCTTTCTTCTGCCTGTTTCTGAACTTTATACAAATGAAACCATAAAATATATAGTATATATTCTTTTTTGTTTTCTTACACTTAAATCATTTGAAGAATTACTTATTTTTTTTTAATATTTTATTTATTTATTTTGTGTGTGTGTGGCCAGCTCAGCCCACCAGGGGGCGGGGCTGGCTGGCATGTGGTGCTGGGGGATTGAACCGCGGTCCCTGATGCTTTGCTTAGCTTAGCTTGTTCTAAGTCGGTGCTTTAGACCACTGAGCCATCTCACCAGCCCAAGAATTACTTATTTTGTAATGAGTAGATACACAGTAGATCATCCATCTTTAGGGCCAAATTATTATTCAGTAGTGTGTGTAGGGGGCAGGGGAGATAGCTCAGTAGAATAAGCGTTTGCCTGCAAGTGCACGGGTCTGAGTTCAATTCCTGGTTCTGCCAAAAAGAAAAAAAAAAAAGTAGTGTGTGTAGACCACAGTTCACGTTTCTGGTCTACAACAATGAGCATTTGAATTGATTCCAGTGTGGAGGTATCACAAATAGTGATCTATCAACATTCTCATTCATGCTTCTTGGTGCATGGATTTCTCTGGGGTATAAATCTAGGAGTGGGATTGCTAGATCACAGTGTAGGCACATATTTAGGGTTACTGGCTATTGTCAAATAATTCTGTCCAATGATTATACTAATCTATATTCCTACCAGCAGCGAATTCCAGTTTATCTGCATCCTCACCAACATTTAGTACTGCCTGTATTTTTAGTTTCAGACATTCTGGTAGGAATGTAGTGGAGTCGCACATGGATTTTATTTGTATTTTCCCAATAACTAAGGAGACGGTACTTCATTTCACTAGTCATGAAGCAAATGTCAAGTAATTCTTTTATGCGTACAAAAGTTGAACCCAAGCCCTTCACACTAAAGTACATTTCCTTTTTTGGAGGAACCGGGGATTGAACTCAGGCCCTTGCACTTGCCGGGCAAGCGCTTATTCTACTGAGCCATCTCCCCAGCCCTAAAGTACATTTCCAAACTTTTAAAATGTTTTTATTTTGAAATAGGATCATGTTAAGTCACTAAACCGACCAGGTTGGGCTCAAACTTGTGATCCTCCTGCCCAGCCTCACTGTACAATTATTACTGGCATGTACCACCATGCAGCTAAATATCAAGAGGTTTCGGGGCTGGGGAGATGGCTCAGTGGAATAAGTGCTTCCCTGGCAAGCACAAGGGCCTGAGTTCAATCCCTAGTTTTTCTATTAAGAAAATATATAAATATTTTAATTGTCTTTTTAGAAAAGCTGACTCCAGAGTCTACCCTGCAAAAATCACAGCACATGGATAGGGGTGTGTGCACATGTATGGTATGTGTGCACAATGCATGTATCCACATGTAGGTATATTTTGTATGTGTATAGGTCTGTCTTACGTATTAATCATGACCTCTGATTAACAGAGTCTTCCACAAAAGCCAAACACAAAAGGGAAATAGGAAAAACCCATCATCTCAGTCAGGGAACCATAGTCCCAGCTCTTTAATAGGTCTCAAAGGCACTTTTCTGAGTAACCCCCAGGAATTTCCCTACCTCCTTCTCTTGCAGAGGAATATAGTATGGGATGTTGGCCTGGAGCTGATTGGGAATTAAGAGCCGGAACTTGTTCTCTGTTTCAGTGGAGTTCTTCACTGCACTGGATTGGGGTGGCCAGTGGCCAGCAAATGTGCAGTAATCTTTGATGTCCCATATCTAGGCACAAAGTACAAGTTAGTAGCCTAGGACCATTTGACCCCACCCCCACTCAGTGTGTGGGTTCCTCCCAGACCATTCCACTTTCCTTTGAGAGCAGTTCTTAGTTACACCTCTGAAACACATAGCTACTTAGGACCAGAAGGAGTCTTAGGTCCCCTGGTTTGCAGGCAGAGGGGGGTGTGGCTGGATCCAGTTCCTGAGACAGCCGGTCATGGATGAGCCACATGGTTAGGAGATGAGAAGGCTGGAGCATAGGTTCACAAGGGAATCTTCTTGGGAGTAGGGAACATCTGAACAATCCTTCACTCATTTCACTGGGAATGTCAGAGTAGAGAAGGACTTCTATGTAATCCACCCTCCTCCCCCACAATTTTACAAATGACACCAGACCCAGACAGAGTAGGAACTCATCCAGAGCCACATGTACCAATGAGTAACCACAAGTCTGATTGGCCAAACCCCTTAATCTCAACAAGTATTCTTCCTCACCTTGATGCGTCCTTTACAATCTCCTGTGATAAGGATCCAGTCATTTTCATCAGTGGCCATGGCACCCACAATGTCCCCATTATCTTCCAGGTCCACAGGGAATTTCCCCAGCAAGCCTCCATTTCCATGGATGGACCAAGCATAGATGTAGCCATCTATGCTGCTGCTCAGCATGGCAGCCGTGTGTGGCAGGCGAGGCCTGGTCTGCAGGAAGATGATCTATGCAAGAGAGGTGGGCCTGTGAACCAGAGTATAGTCTGGCCTCTGTCACACATTCCTGAGGGTCCTGGGCAAGTCCCACACCTACCTGGTTTCCCAATTTCCAAGATGCCCTTTCTATCTACCTGGTGATGATAACATATACATGAATATGAACTATTTGAGGGTAGGAATTTTTTTAACCAAAAAAATAGTTGGAACTAATAAATCTCTTCAACAAAGTATCAGGATACAAAGCTCATACATAAAAATCTGTTGCATTTCTATTCACTAACAAGGAATAATCTGAAAAAAATTGACACAGACAAGTCCCTTTACAATGGCATCAATAGAATAAAATGCTTAGAAATAAATTTAACCAAAAAAATTTAAAAAATAAATTTAACCAAGTAAGAGATTTGTACAGTAAAAGCTACAAAACATTGCTTAAATTAAAGACATAGGGCCGGAGAGATAGCTCAGTAGAATAAGTGTTTGCCTGGCTAGAGCAAGGTCCTGAATTCAATCCCCGGTCCCGGAAAAAAATAATAAAATGGCAGTGGAGGAGGAGCAGCAGTTAGTTTGAGATTGTAGCATAAGCCAGACCCAGGACAGGAAGGAAGGAAAGGGGTAACAAAAATGAAGATGGATTTCCCATTTGTTCAGTTTCATCAGCTAATTGTACACACGTACATCAGTGTCAGCTGCTATTCAGAAAATTTTAGTTGGGCCAAGCTGGCTCTCTTGTGAAGTTATGCTGGTCGTCTCTAAGCTTATCGGTTGTTTGTCCAACTAAAACACTTCACCAGTATTTAGTCTGGGTTGTACTGATGGTGTATTTGGCTTTTGTCATTGTTTATCTGCAGACTCAAAACATCATTTTAAAGTACCTTGGGAGTGTGTGTAATAGCTTTATGATTCTAATGTTTTTTTAAAAAATAATAAAGCTGGATCTTCCATGTTACAATCAGGGGCCAGGGAGACGGCTCAGTGGAATAAGCGCTTCCCTGGCAAGCTCAAGGTCCTGAGCTCGATCCCCGGTTCCACAAAAAAAAAAAAAAAAAATTACAATCAAAAAGTTTAAACCAGTGGAAAGTAGTTTAAAAGTGGAAAAGTATTAAAATACTATGGACAAAAAAAAAGAAATTAAAGACATAAATAAGTGGAAACATGTAGTCATGGATTGGAAAACTTAATATTGTTAAGATATCAATACTACCCCAAACAATTTACTGATGCAATGTAATTCTTCTCAAAAACCTATGATGCTTTTTGCAGAAGTAAAAAAAACCTATCCTAAAATTCGTATGTAGTCTCAAGGGAACATGAGTGCCAAACAGTTGAGAAAAGGAAAAGCAAAATTTGAAGCCCCACATTTTCTGACATCAAAACTTACTAGTATACTACAATAATCAAAGCAGTGTGGTAATGTTTACGACAATCATGCAGCTCAATGACATAAAATAGCCCAGAAATAAAAGGTCAAATGAATTTTGACAAGAGTTCAGAGACTATTCTGTGAGGAAGACAGTATTTTCAACAAATGGTTTTCTGAAAACTGGATATTTATATGCAAAATGGACTCTTAAATACACCATGTACAAAAATTAATGCAAAGTGGATTAAAAACAAATTTAACACGTAAAATCAACGAATTTTTAGAAAAAAAAATAGTCTGGTCCAAGCCCAGGCACAGCATGGGTGAGACCCTCTTCTGCCGCCTTGGGAACCCCCCACCACTCCACAGTCCCCCCCACTCCTGCCCAGTGAGTGAGAACTTCTGCCACATTCTTGGGACTCCCAGATCCAGCCCTAGCCCAGGCCTGGTGAGTGTGTGGGAGAGCTTTTGGCTACCCTGCACCAGCGGGACCAGTCCAGTCCAAGCCCAGGCGCAGCATGGGTGAGACTGTCTTCCACCCCCTTGGGACTCTCCCCCACCACTCCGCAGTCCCCCCCACTCCCACCCAGTGAGTGAGATCTTCTGCCATGTTCTTGGGACCCCCCAGATCCAGCCCTAGCCCAGGCCTAGTGAGTGTGTGAGAGAGTTTCCTCTCTCCCCTACTCTACCTTGTCCCCTTCAGACTCAGCTCAGGCCTGGCATATAGGCCTGGGGTGAAACTCTGGAGCTGAAGTCTCTGCAGAGTGAGTAGAGGACAGAACCACCCAGGTAGTCCAGGAACAGAACATCTTGGCAGAGGGGCACAACAGGTTCACTCCCAAGAGCAGCAGCAGGAAGGAGCTGAGCAAAGCAGCCAGACCCAAGCCAGGTACAGCTGGATAAAGCCAAACTTTGTAGATCTGCACCTGAATTTCAGTAGGTGCTAAGGTTATAAGTGCACCAAAGCTCTACAACAAAGGTCAGAAGACAGTACTATACAAAATGATGAGAAGGAGCAAAATGCAATCTCAGACCCCAAGCCCACCCATAACAAGAGCAGAGGACACTAACACAGAACAAATTGGGAATCACACAGCTGAAATCAAAGAATCAACAGCTTCTGAAATAAAGAGAGAACTGCAGAAAGGGATAGAGGAACTCCGATTGGAAATGAAAAAAAGAAATCCCTGAATTAATAGCATCTTCAGTAAAGAATCAAATGCAGAAACACATGGAGGAAACCCAGTGCCCACCCAGAACAAATGCAGAGGACAACAGCTCAGCTGAAATGTATGAATTAATAGCATCAAAAGTAAATAAGCAGGCTGGGGAGATGGCTCAGTGGTCTAAAGCACCTACTTAGAACAAGCTTAGCAAAGCACAAGGGACCTCGGTTCAATCCCCCAGCACCACATGCCAGCCAGCCC